GATTTTATATATGTTTAATCTATCCATATTACAACTTTTCTTATTTAAAATCCTTGAGAAGCTAGTTAATAATCATTTGTGGGAGCTTTAAAAGTAAGACCTGTTTAAAGAGTGAAGGTCAGCTTTTAGAGCTCATCATAGCAATAAAACAGGACTGGGGAAAATCACTAATGATATTTTCATGGTCTCAGATAATGGCGCTCTCTCTGTATATGTCCTGTTAGACCTTAGTGATGAATTTGATTCACTCAATCATAATATTCTTTTAGAATTACTCATACAGCACTAGGTTGGCTTAAATCTTATTTTCCATAACTCTGTTTTTGTATCTTTAATGTCATCTTATTGGTTTTCCATTAAAATTGTTGGTAGTTTTTAGGAAAAAAGATATAGTTAGTGAGGGTTAAACACTGAGATCTAGAAAAAAAAAACACCTTTCCTTCTAACAGATCTTGCCAGAACAAAAATCTTTCACAGTATAAAACCTGAGTCCTGGTACATGTACTTGCTACAGACTGGGCTTTAAAGACACTGTATTAATTTCTAAAGATGAGGAGAGGGGATACATGAACTAAAATATTTTATTGTTCACACCTACAGTCCCACAGTAAACAGATCTGTTAGAGAATTACCTGTGCAATGAGCTTAATCTGTTGTACAAGAAAACATGTTAAAAACTTAAATCTAATTTCTCCAAACTTTTGCTTTAACGTTTCTTCTTCAGTTACCTTAAATTTCAGCTCATCTTAAATCTGCAACCATATTGTGCTCAGTTGTTCTCTTTTCTACTCATTTATTGCCTCATTGTCTTCCTCCGCACACACACAGTATTTGAATCAATACACTTTTCGTTCTGCCCATTTTGTTGCCAGCCAGTTTTTCTCCATCTGTCTGTCAGCCTGTTTGTGCTTCCTCTCTACTCAACATAAACAACAGTTGGTTTACCCGCACTGTATCCCTGTTGCTCATCCCTGGCAGATTGTCGTGTTTGTCATACAAACAGCTCCTGAAAGCAGCTTTTTTTTATGAGTGCCAAAACTCGAAGCAAAATACATCAAATCAAGAAGCCATTAATGATAATGGGAAGACATAATCTAAAAATAAGTTATTGAAGTTTTGTGGTCTATTGTATATCTTCCAGACAGTACATTTTTAAAATCAAAATGAAGCATTACATATTAAAAAAATATTTGAAAATGCAGAACCCATTGCAGTGCATTTTGCAAAAGCCAATTACTGACAAGGTATGCTTTGATGGCCAACAGCACAAACCACGGATCAACTATACTGTATAATACCTAGCTTTGAAATTTGCTGGTGTGAGTGATAGTTGGCACAAATGGATGTCCAGAAAGAAGACAATAAAGTAAATTATTCTCCTAATAGCAATTATGATTATGTAATCTGTTTGGGAGATCACGGAATATGGTTGTTTTTTTCACACATAATTCAGCATTACAAAAGTTCTCAAACTTTCTCAAAAGTACTACTGCTGTCTGGCCACTGTGAGTCAAAAATCCTTAAGTAATCAGCATCAAGCAGCTAGTTTCATGCCCCTGCCCCTGCTCCATAGTAGTGACTCATTTGGGCATGCTATCCAATCAGGGCTCTACTTCTCTCTGCTTACCTCAATAGATGGAGGCTCAAACCTCCAGTTGTCATAGGGACAGTAAGGCAGCATCCTGATGCTCCAGAGCAGAGGGGAGAAGCGGCTCCACAGCTGATTAATGAGCAACATACTCATGAAATCAGGTGCATTTTAGCTTATATTTATTGCAGTTTAATGATTACATTTATGAAGTTTGGCAATGCCTATTTTAAGTGACCCAATGAATATGGTCACAACAGTTGCTTTCACCTTCCGGGCTCTTTCTAGGTTGTTGGTAACATAATTTTGTCTGTTTTTATCTGGAAGTCCCACAGGATCTTAGGTTTGTCTTTTTCCACCATCTTGAGAGATTGATCCCTCTTTGACCTGGGGGTTTACAGTTTGTATTGTGCACAGATATTTCTGTACACCATACCAGCCACATCACATTTAATCTATTCCTTTCGTGCCAATATCTTACACCCTACTGTGCTATTCAGTATTGTTTATGGGGCCTTTTTGACTAGCCTGCACCTAGGATCTTGCCTGGTATGGTAGATCTGGCCCTCTATTGTCCTGATGCTCAGGACCAGCAGCCATGACCTGCAGCTCTTCTATGCTTTCCTTCAGCCCAGCCCTATCTAGACATTGGCAGGGTTTGGTCATATCAACCACTTCAGCTATTAGTTGGTGGTACGTCCCATGCATGGGGTTTTCCACCCATGATGGTTCCTCCAGTTCCTTCATTTCCAGCTTCCATAGCCGGAGACATTCACTAACCGCTTCATCCCTCTGGTCCATCTTTCTGATGTATTCTTGGAGCTTGGATGTTTCATCTTCAATAGTGGCTCTAATGCTCACTAGACATCTTCCTCCTCCTTTGTGCTTAGTCTATAGTCTCTGGATACTGGATTTAGTGGGTGTTCCACCATGCATGATGAGTTGCTTTCTTTTTTCCTCCTTAGCACCAGTTCTTATCCCAGCAGGGTATCTGATTACTGGAAAGGCATAGCTGTTGATTGCTTGTACCTTGTTTTTACCATTGAGCTGAGTTTCAATTCAATTTTAGCATTCAGATTGATGTTATGCACAGGAGGAGGCTAATAATGTCGCCATATATGAAATAGTATTGATAGCCAATCTTGTTGATTATTGGGGGGTTTCAGGCTTATGTAGAATATTGGAAGGAGGGGGTGGGAGAACATCCCCTTGGTTGGCCTCAAGTATGGTTTTCCACAGAAGCATGGAGTTTGCAATGAAGGCCAGTAGAGTACTGTTGTTCTTTTACAGCTTCAGACATTCCAGGACACATGTGGGGCAATCACTCATAGGCGGTAAGGCCTGAACTAAAATTCACAATCATTAAAGGATTTCAATAACCTGTGAGGACCCTAAGATGAACTATATTGGAGGAGTTGGAAGTAAAGCAACACAAAATTTGTTGATCTATGCAGGTTCCTTGCAGAGTGTTGGAGTCTGTTAAAATGAGTGTGCATTAATACTGGATAGACCACCATGCTTAGGATTTGAATATTTAATGAAGTTTTCACAAAGAAACTAAAATAGACTGCATTAGTTTTCATGCTGCCAAACGAAGCAACAATAACTCCTCCCTCGAAGGTTGATGCAACCTAAAGAGGTATTTATTTTAAGAAAGATGTAGAGAAAAATATTTTTAACTGCTGTTCAACAAAAAATTTAATTTTTAAATTAAATAAATGTGTCACTACTCACAATTTATTTTTTTTTCAATCATTTCACAAACTGCCTCATCTAGAAAAAAATTCTAATTATTTTTACGAAATACAAGAAACTAACACCCTAATTTCATAGATAGAGAGATATTCCAAGAAGTTATATGCGCCTTTTCATCTGGGTCTTAATATACAAATAAGCTAATATTAATTTTAGATATAATATATAGACTACTGTAGAAATTAAATTAAATGTAAAACCAATTCTCATGAGGGGGAAGAAATAAATCCTCACATTTGGACAAAATGTGCAGCAGATGCAGTTTTTCAACCACATAAAGCTTATTAAGAAGTGACTCCATGGGGGCAGAGCAAGTGTGTGGACACAAAGCTAAGCGCAAAGATGGATGGATGGATGCAGTTTTTTTTAACCTGTTCCCTGTTGGCACTTTCTGCTCACTGCCGCCACCACAACAGAGAAATAATCTTCCTTATATCTTTAATGTCAACTTTCTTCTGTGGCAACTCTAAATAGTATCGGCACCAAATGCCAGTAAAACAAGGATAAGTGCTTGATTCCTCACAAACTCCCACACCTGTCAAGTTTAGGATTTGAAAATAAAGGAATTTTTACAACATCGGCTGCTAGCCATCCTACTATCCCAGTTAAGCTCAATATCTATTATGTTTTAAGACACATGCACAAGAAATCTAAATTAATCAACTGCAAACTAAGACAAGGTGGTCAGATTTTGACTCGTGATGCTAGCAATAGTTCTGTTTGGAGACAGATCAAGGTTATTTTAGAGAATTTTATCAGGGGCGCAACTACATACTTTCTGAGGGGGAATGCAGGGACATCGCAAGGCACATCAATTGGTATCAATTTACTTATCCTACACTTCAGTTTGTTTATCACTTCCCTCCTTTTCCATCCTTGCATCTCAACATGAATTTTGTTAAATACACCAGTCTGTATACATTCTCAGTATCAGAATGAGGACATCAAGCAGCCTAAGACTAAAAGTAGCTCCAAGCAATTATCTGAATCACGTTTAAGTTAAAACTCTTTCATATACATTTTTGGGTGAAGTTAGAATCTCTCTGAGAATCTTTATTAGCCTTTCTTAGCCTTTATGGAAAAATGGTAAAGAATAAGCTGTCATTGTGGGAAAGCTGGGCTTTCACACAAGACGAAAAAGGTATAGTGGATTGCTTTTAAAATACAGATTCCACAGGGTGCAAACATGGCTGTAGCCTCTGAGTCAGAAACTTTCCAGGGAGAATTCACTATGCAAAACCTCTCGGAGGCAAACTAACTGCAACCCAACCCTGCCCAGCCAGAAAAATAGAGCTCTAAAAGAAATCAGATGGCATTTTCTGAAATAGTATTTAACAGTGAAAACATATTAGTAGCTAAATTTGCTCCCTTTGATCAATGTGTTTCTTTTGAAAATCATTCCATAATTGTGCAGATGGTTGATCTTGCAGAGAGGTAGATTTGGATGCTTGATAGCCTTGATTGGCATACCCCAGCTTCCTGTGGGACTCGTTGCATGCCATTTGGAGAAAAACAAAGAGGAAGGGAATTCATTATGAATAGGATATGAATCACAGACAGTGTTCTGGTTCATAAACATCACACTCGTCCATTGTTGCTGGAGATGCAGAACATTGGCCAGCAAATTCTTTTTTCCATTTTAAAGATTTCTATTTTTATTCCTTTTGATGGTGTAGTTTTAGAATGTGGTTGTTAGAAACTGCATGTCATGTTACACGATTCTGAGCAATTTATGGGCAATTTTTGCAGTTTGACTTTTAAGAAATTCTTCCTTTGTGCTTTGACTCCCTATTAAGAGGAGTCAAACAAAAACCGACAGATTCTAGCAAACAAAGGAAAATAAAACATACAAGTGTCCCCTCATTTCAAATGAAGTAAAAGCTACGGTGTCTAGCATTTTAGAAAGCAGGCTAAAATTAGCTTGAATTGTTAGCAGATTCCTGAATAGTCCTATTTGGCTCAGTGATATTCAAATCTTTTTTATATCAACAAGGTAACTCAGTTATGAATAAGCTCAGCATAGAGTTAAGTGTAAGCCTATCATAAAACCAAAGTACCAAAATGCCATACAAAGAACTTGTACTTGTTTTATATGAGAAATCTGCAACATAAATTTTATCCAGGTTAATTATTGATTAGCGAGAAAATGATATTCAAATATATTTGAATCCAGATATTAAAATACATCTAATTGCATTGAGTATTTGCTGTTCAAGGTCTACAGACTCCTACAGTGAAAAACATTCCTTTACTGACATTTCAGACTCAGAGTAAGATCAACAAAACCTGCTGAAGACCAGAGCTGGTTTAGGTAGTTAAATGACTCAGGATAACAGCTTTGTAGCTTTCGGAAATAGAAAAGTTGGGTTATAGAAATATTTTGAAGTACTTATCCCACTTTGTGAGCAGGGGCCAGGTATTTTCTTTCAGATTTCCGAAATATTAACCAAATACACACCATTTTCTCACAGCAAGAACATCATTAGCAATGTTCCATAAAAACTGCTACCATTCACAGCAGTATTTGTGTAAACTAACAAAGCAGCTGCGTTTATTGAGTACTTGCTGTCAGATTGCTACAGCCAACATGTCCGACATCCACTCACTGTCAAGACGACTCAAAACCAAAATGACAATGCCACTTCCTATAAAACAGATTCACTTTAAAGAACTGAGACTGAAAACATTCTGTCTGCTCTAATTTGCTTGATTCAGGAAACTTACAGCAAACTTACAGAAACTTTATCCCAAATAAACAGTGGAGGCAGGTAAAGGTGGGCATAAGAGTACAGTAAAATAAAGAAAATAACAGTTTTGAAAACTGGAAAGTGGGTAAAAAGAAGTAATGCCTCTGAGGATGTCCTGAAAAAATGTCTGAAAAGTTTCAGTAAAAATAGGGAAGTATCTATTGCAATCCACAAATACAAACATGTTTTAAAGTATGACTTCCAACAGTCCAATGTGGATCAATAAAAATCTTTAAAAAAAGCAAGCTGAAAGACCATTGTTTCTTTTTAGACAACCAGCAGAGGGATAATGATGATACAGTGAATCTTGAGCTTTTAGGATGAGCCTGCTGCTCCTGTTGGCATTCCTGAAGACATGTTAGGAGCATTTGGACCTTTCCCTCGATGTCTCTGACCCCCTCTTCGACGGCCCCCGCCTCCTGATTTCAGCTGCAGACAAACATTAACACAAAGCTTCATGTTAAGAGAAATCAATGCTTTGTGGGAAACTGTGACCTGATAGTTGTTTTTGGACAAAAATACAGATAAGGGCAAAATTAGAACTCTAAGAAAAATTGTTAAATGGTGTGAATTGATTCTAGAAAAATTTGATAAGATGTTTGAAAGACCAGAATGTCAACTAGTGCCCTGCAAATATCGGTTGTCCATTCCACACATACCAAGTTATCTAGTAGTTGGAAATTATGCTTAATATGACTAATTTGCAAACCTTTAAACTCGGTTTGAAAAAATCTGCTTGATCACAAGAACACTGTAAATAAAATCTGCCCATTTGACATAAAAAGGTAAAAAGGTCTTTGACGGTCAGTTTAAAACGAAGAATGAATTTATTTGTTTATATAACCTGTTTTTCGGTCTAAAATAGAAGGACTTGGATCACAGCACCTTTCTATCAGAGGCTTTATATGCAAGCTGTAGAATAAATCTGCTGCATGAGACCTGATTGGAAATGGTCTCTCAAAGAGAATGATGTCTTGGAACAGATTAAGACAAATCTACTTGCTGTGGGACCAGTTGTCAGTCAAAACTTATTACTCACTGAGCTACTGCTGACTGAAGGCTCACTAATAATCAAGAGACAAACAGACAGGACGATTGCCCTCTGTGGTCTGTAGGCCATTTGATTGACATAAGAGTGTGCTGTCATTTGCTGCACACTTTTACCATAAACATACACACAGTAACACTTTGCTGCTCATAGATTTGCTGCGTTAGTATTCTACAAGGAATGCTCATGTGGCTGATGGCAGATATAAAACAATGGCAAATATCAACCTAATTAGTTCTCTGACTAAAGCAGTTGGCCAACTTTTAGGGTTTAACTTGTTATCATGGTAAGAATTACAAGCTTATGTCACTAAATGGAAGGGGATATTAAAACCGTCTACAAACAGCAGTATGATCCAGGTATTAAAGTTCCTCCTAAGCCACATTTACTCTGTTACTAAAAACAAACTGCTTAATACTAGCAATTAAACATTTAGCCAGCACAAATGTGTACTCCGACTTAAAGGCGAATAATAAAGACTTTCTATTCAAGCCTAATTTAGGAATTGTTAAATATTGTTTGTTTTTAAGAAACCTTTATTTACAGAATTTCTTTGGCAAGTAAAAAGAGCAAAAACGCGAAAGCCATCCTTGTTTGACATTGTTGTTGACCGATTTAGTCAAATAACCGAACACAGAACAACCTAGTTGCAGGGGCTGTTGTTCTTTAATGGATCATTTGAAATCCATGTTATGTTCTCACCCTTAAGGTCTCCAACATCATTGAAATACAGCTTGATATAGCACTTTACTTTGTTCAGTTTTTGTATATCTTTTCACTTTTTGTTCTCTCTTTAGTTATTACCACTTCAAGGTTTGGTCTGTGGGGCCTGCCCACCTTTTTACCTTGTTTTCTTTGTCGTCTTCTTTACAAAAAGCCTCCTCTGCCACTGTCTAACGCAGCATGTAAAGACAGTCAGGATGATAAGAGCAGGAAAATGATGTATTAAAAGCACAGAGAATGAATGGCAGAAATGAGGGGAAGGGGGAAAAAATCCTATATGATAAGGGGGTAGGTGTATTGGAAGAATGAATGAAAGATGGTGAATTAGGATTAAAACACATCATGTTGGTCAACTCAGGATTATGGGAGGGAATAAAGTGTAGAAGAAAGAGAAAAGCATAATAGATTAGCAGCCAGATTTCAAAAAGTGTCTCCGTCTCAAGACGTTCAAAATACTTAAGTTGAAACATAAAACGAGACCAGCAGATTTCATAAAAATAAATACAAAAAACAGCCTGATTGGTTTCTGAGTTTTTACCGACTAGTTATGCCCCACATGCTGCTAGGTCAAGAATAGTCCAAGCTGAACAGGTATATTTTCAGCATAAATGGGCAATGATAAAGGTGAAACACAACCTGTTTTTCTAAAATTAAAATACAGTAAATTACAGTAGCTGCATCAATAGTGTAATGTTTAAAGAACTTAACATTCAACCTGTTGAAGCTTTAGAGTTCAAAAGGGATCAGATGTATGTTACAACTCTTGACTGTTTTATCTCTAAATTTAATATAAAGGATTTTAACAGTATGTAAAAAAAAAAAAAAAAAAAAAAAAAAAAAAATACTAGTAACTTAAAGGATTATTCCGGTTTTTAACACTTTTAGCCCATTTTCTGTAGTGTCCAGGATGAAATCGAATGATCGACACCAACATTTTGACAATTGGTCCTGTCTCTGCTTTTTGGCTCATGCAGAATCCCCACCCTGGCTGCTTCAGAATGGCTTCCATAGTGCATGTCCGATAATGTCCTTAAAACAACCTTAAACGTTCTTTTTTTAAAATATGCTACTCACCGGGTCGTCAGCGCTGTTCAATGACGTTCCAAAAAAAGTTTCGTGAAGAAAAAACGTTCCTGTCTTGTTTTATTTAGCATTTTGTAAATCCCAGAACTATTTTTTCCGATACATCACAACCGCTTATAAACTTCCGCTTCCCGTTCGAATCTGAGGCGTTGCACACTCCAGACCACTAGTTGGCGACGGTATCCTCTACCGTCAAACTCAAAGTCCAATATGTCCTCCTCAAGAATCCACCTTTCGTATTCCATTTTCAGAGTTTTTTAAAGTGTTTAACAGAGACGTTAGCACCTCGACGTCGGAGTACACAGAGTGAAGCATAAACACTTGGGCCTTGCGAAAAGACTACAACTAAGGGTAAACAGGCCCCATTTCCGTTTCCGGTGGCGGAGGGATATTGACTATTCCAACAGAACTCAATGGGATTTACAAAATGCTAAATAAAACACTACAGGAACGTTTTTTCTTTACGAAACTTTTTTTGGAACGTCATTGAACAGCGCTGACGACCCGGTGAGTAGCATATTTTAAAAAAAGAACGTTTAAGGTTGTTTTAAGGACATTATCGGACATGCACAATGGAAGCCATTCTGAAGCAGCCAGGGGGGGATTCTGCATGAGCCAAAAAGCAGAGACAGGACCAATTGTCAAAATTTTGGTGTCGATCATTCGATTTCATCCTGGACACTACAGAAAATGGGCTAAAAGTGTTAAAAACCGGAATTATCCTTTAAGTCAGGGATGTTTTGATGTAAAACATTGTGTATCTGTGACCCCTATTCAGGTTGAACTTCTATAATAAGATACTGCTGAGGCTAGGGACTGATTACTCACTGATGTTGTTGGACTTTGTGGTTGGTTAGTTGATCCAGCGTCTTCATTCCCTGTTGTCCCGTCTCTAGAAAACTTCTTATTGGCCTGAGACTTGGACTGCTGGGCTTTAGCAGCCTGTGTGCCAACTGACTGGAGAAGCTACATAGGGAAAATAGTTGTTTAGTTGGTTCCATCAACTAAACCCATAACAAAGATTAAGAAAGAAGGTCCACTTAATTTTCAGATGTGAACGCATGATAGAATCAAGATTCTATTTTACCTTCATGATTCTGCCTACGGCTTTGGTTCGACCTTCCCTGAATACGAGCTTCTGATCACAGTGCAGATACTCCGGCGTCTTAATGAAGCGGAAATGGACTGAAGCCTTGTCCCCTGTCCTTAGACAGTCTTTGTTCATGGTAAGGATAGTGGCAGTCTGCCTAATGCTGCCACAGTGGACTTGAAGATGGAATGAAAATAACATATTTACTAAGACTTGTACATTTTACATAAGCAAAAGACATGTGTCCACTAACCCATTGCCTGGTATCTTGGAGATATTGTGGTTGGATGGTGAAGCACCAAGATTTCAGCCTCAAATTCCCAGGTAGCTTGAGGCATTAGTTTTGGAGAGACCATCACCATTCCTTTCCTTATTGATGATCTTTTTATCTAAAGGATGGATGTAAAGAAAAAAAAACCTCAGTGAAAGATTTTTTTTAGTGAAGAACAAATAAAAACACATAAATCCTACAATTGAGAGAAACATAGCTGAAATATTTATAAAAAATGACGTTCTTATGAGTAAAGTTTACTAAATTATCTTTAATGAAGAGAAATATTTCCCTACAAACCTTTTTTAAAGCAAAGGATGCAGTCTGCCCACCATGAACCTCTTTAACAGGCATTCTTTTGCGATGGATGGACTTCACAGCAATAGGGATGAAGGTGCCAAGCGGGTCTGGGCCTAAGAGTAACGTATCGTTGAGTCGTATTACTCCACGCAGTGTGGTACCAGAAACTACTGTACCCACACCCTGCCAAAGAAGAAGACTGACATGAGATTACAGGTTTTGCGGTAAGAATACGATGACAGGCTAACAAGGGTTCACTATGAACCCAAGGGTTGTTTGCTTTAGAGCTCACCATTAGTGCTAAACTAAATAACCATTTAGCATAGGTTTTATTTACTAAGTTTCAATGGCATTTGATCCTCTAGTTCAAATTCTATTTCATTTTCAGAGTGTCCTTAGCACTTTGTTTCATCACAATATTATTGTTGTCTATGGACAGAGAAAATGCACAAAACGCCCTTGGTTCTTAGATTCTGCTCAGCAGTTAAAACACAGTGACTGCCTGGTTTGGTCGATCAAAATTTCTAAGGTCATTGCTGTAAAAGTCACATATAAACACACAGGCTAATGTTATTGACACTGAATGCATTCATGCAATCCAGAGTTTTATTTGTTTTCCACATGACACCTACACCAAATAGAGTATAAACCTTTGATTCTCTGCCGTTTCTAAACTGGATGACCTTGAATGTTTGGACCACTTTTTTCCCTTGCTGTCCCTGCTGAAAATACCCAAAGGGGCAAAAAAAAAATCTATAACAAAAAGTGTGGGAGCAGCCAACTGTGGATCACATTTCATACCGGTACTGAGTATGTGTCGTCTATCTGGAACTCTGCTGGCTCATCATTGTTATAAGTCGTCCTTGGGGAGAGGAGGTTTAAGAACATCTTCAGCAGGTCCATGTTCTCCCCCGTCACGTTTGAGATTTGGAAAATGGGACACATCCTTAAAAGGTTAGAGAATGTCAGTGGTGAGCAGAAATTATGTATTTACTTAATTAAAAAGTCATAAACACTGTGTCAACAAGCATAGATATTGAAGAATGGTCTTAACTTGTTCAACTCAATTGGGTCTCAGATATCAGAAACATCTAAATGAGTTTGAATGAGTAGAATTAAAGAAGCAAACTCATTCACTATAAGAATGCCCCAAACAGCCTTGGTGGTGGAACATAAAGAACTTTACATTTTTTGATTCCTTTTTCAAAAAGGTAAAACATCTACATACACCATTTACAAGAAAGTTGAGATACTTTCCATTAGAAGCTTTAGAATAGGCATGGAGTGGAGCGAAGCAGTGTTCCCCACCTTTTCCTGTGTACTGCTAGTTAGCTGGCTGCATAAAAGATCTGAATATTTCCACTTGCTAGATTTAACTCTTAAGAAACACGGAATCAAAAGCTAAAGTAATCTTATTTCTCGGGCTGTGCAAGTTAACTCTTTATTTTCATGACATTTCTTTACACTATTATTACCGATATTTACTTTATCGCACATTAAAGCTTGTTGCTTACATGTGTTTATTTTGTGAAAGTGTTATTGAATTAATTCTTTGAGTTAGAGAATACAATGTGATTAATAGTGATTAAAAATGTAATTGTTTCCCAGCCCTATTGTTTAAATTTATATTTTATCTCTGACATCTCTGTTATTCAGCCAACTACAGGCTAGCGACCTATGCATGAAACTCAGCTATTCATCAAATTAATATCAGCTTTTTAGGTGTTTTCTGTAATATTCAAGAAATTCTCAGGCAGAATTTTGCGTCTGTTGACAGGTATGTTGATGCATGAGCAAGGTACTTTTTACAAGTTGTCTGGGATGTTTTTTTTTTTGTTTGCGAACGTCTGTCCTAATCACTATATAGGGCATTATATAGTTGATGCAGACACAGTGCGAGGAGGCAGAGTTACTTGACCAACAGTGAGTGAAAAGTAGTTATCATCTGTTCGAATGAGTGTTAACTGAGTTAACTAAAAAGTCAACTATATAGTCCTGCTCTATAAGAACATCTTCAGCAGGTCCATGTTCTCCCCCGTCACATTTGAGATTTGGAAAATGGGACACATCCTTAAAAGGTTAGAGAATGTCAGTGGTGAGCAGAAATTATGTGTTTACTTAATTAAAAAGTCAAAAACACTGTTTGTGTCAAAAAGCATAGATGTTGAAGAATGGTCTTAACTTGTTCAACTCAATTGGGTCTCAAATATCAGAAACATTTAAATGAGTTTGAATGAGTAGAATTAAAGAAGCAAACTCATTCACTTTAAGAATTCCCAAAGAGACCGTTATCATCTGTTCGAATGAGTGTTAACTGAGTTTACTAAAAAGTCAACCATATAGTCCTGCTCTATATAGTGATTGAGAAATGTGGGGGTTAGGGTGGATGTTCAGGCACAGCATTTGTTTTTTTAGAATGCCGTTTTTAAACAAAAATGTATAATCAATATTTTATATTACAAAATTATAATCTAGTAAATTTCTATCCATTCTTACTTTTTTCAGTTTTGTGTTATTTGAAAAACTAGTGTGAATTTATAATTTTCTTTAATCGGAAGGTATGTAAACTTTCAAGCACAACAATATAACTAGCAGCTAATGACCATGTTTAATATTATATGAAAGCAATAAGATGTTTTACATATTTGCTTAAACCTTTAATGCAAACATGTTATCCTTTTAACACATGTTCTAATTTTCAGCTGATCTCCATGTGTCTGCTATTGAATCTTACCTCGCTGAGCTAAAGTTGGAGGCTGTGACGACGACATCGTCCTTGTTCTGGACTAGTACGGGGATCTTTCTGCAGCCCGGTGACTTTAATAATCTCTGTAGTAATTTTAGTGTCTCTATTAATCCAAAAAAACAACAAAAAACAAAAACAAATCAGCATAAAACAAAACAGATTTTCTAAGAAAGAGAACGTACTAGAGTTGGGAGATCTGGTAAAAGTTGTTAAACTAGCTGATAAACTTGTTTGACACCACTAGTCACAAACATTTGGTTATATGATTCCTATTATTGACCAAAAGGGGCCTGTGCAGCTGTTTAGCAAGCATGTTTTACAGCTTGAACTGTATTGAGATGCTCTATGAATTCTGGTCAACACCTAGAAGGGATCAGTGATTATAAAAAAAAAAAAATATATCAATTCAAAAAAGAAAGATTTTATTTCTCAGCCATATCACCTAGCCGCATTTGTATTTTTCACAATTACCACCACATTATGTTCAAGGGCTTTTGCTGTGGTAGAGAAGAGAAATATTGCGGATCCACACATAATCCTGACCTGACCTAGGCACCTTGGTTATCGTAGATTTTTCCAGTTTTCCAGTGGAAATTAAGACATGAGGGGTGTTCGTTAAGGTTGGGTGATATGTAAAAATTTCCCACTGACATTCGCCAGTCCAGCAAATAGCGATGGACGATATATTCATACAGGTGACTTTGAAGGCAAAGACCAGAACCACCTTCAAACACTGCTAAAACCCAATAAAGCAAACAGGCTTGTTGCCTTGTGAAAAAAGTTTCATCAAGTAGGAATAATTTCCTCTTTTCCAGATAGTCTGGCTATGTTATGAGACGTTATAGTTTTTTGTTCGTTATTCATTTATCTCAATGCACAAAATCGAACAGACTGAAAACTGGGGCAGAGATTTTTTTCTACTAGAAAGCACAAAGCTTCACTGGAGGAGGGCATTTTTCTTTTTGATTTTTTTTCTGTCATTTAATTTTGTATTTGTTGTATTAAAATCAAATCTGTAAAAGAAGGAGCGGCCTGTAAACGCAATTTTAAAAAAAGCCACCTGGTTCTGGTTTCGGCTGTTTTAAAAAAGTTTTAAAAAAGAAAATGAAAAAAAAAAACAACAAAAAAACCCATGGGTCCAAAAAATTTTGGTTTCTGGTATTTACCTTAATTACAAGAGCACATAGAGATTACATTAGATTACTGCTAACTGATTCTCTAGTTTTCTTTCTAGATTCCTTTCTCTATTGTTATCTTTTCAAAGACTATCCTAACTAACTCTGTCCTACTATTGAAGCCACCATCAGTAGACAAACAGGAAATATGGTGGAGAGAGAAGGTAAAGATATGCCTTAAGATGATGCGTTGTGAATTGACACTATATAAATAAACTAAACTAAACTGAAAGATATGTAGCAAAGTCCTCTGGGTTGGTATTCTAACACAGCCCCAACAACTACTAACCCTGTTAACTTTGGTGTACGCTTCCCTTATATACAACATTTTTAATCTGAAGCTGGCCATTTTCAGGCAATCAGCAGGCTTAAACCAAGAGTGTACCTCCAGGGAGTTTGAATTAAACCTTCAGTGCAGCCAAGAAAGGCATAAAATGTCTCCTTATGCATTCATGCTATAGTGCGTCTCCTTACCTTGCAGGATGTTAGCTGGACACATATCTATCTTTGTAACAACTACAAAGACGGGTACATTTAGGGCTAAAGCCAGACCAAGATGTTCTTTAGTCATGCCAACTATCCCTGCATTACTGCCAATCTATAAAGAAATGTCAAAAAGCAAGATGTTACTTAAAAAAAATACAATCTGAAAAGGAATTGAATGCAACACAAGACTCACCATAAGCATGCAGAAATCAGGCAGGTGGCCTGTCATGCCAAAAACAGTGGTTTTGAGATACTTCTCATGGCCGGCCAGGTCAATAAAGGTGATGACCTTTGAGGACTTCTCACAGATTTTTATCCAGTCTAAACCCCCACCATGGCTGTCTGGCTTGTTAACCACCTAAAGAAACAGTCGTTACTACTAAACAACATTTGACCAACATTTGAAGAAAAGGCGCCAAAAAAACTGCTATAAAGAGAAAATTACATTTGATTAAGAAAAGAAGAAACAGAAGAAAATGGTTCAAATAACCAAATTACACAAGTTTGAACACAAGTATAAACTGTTAAAAAATAATTTGATTCGATTTCAGAGACAGGTCTACTTTGGTAGGAGTCTATCACCGTCACACACACTGGCCTGACAAGATTTAACTACTCCGGCTTAGAAAGTTTCCACACTTGTCAGATTACAGGCACGTCACTTGCTCAGAGCCATTTTCATGTCATTCCAACAGAATTTCTGTACCGACTTTATGGCTGGGCCACACCAAAACCTGGAACCGATCGTAGCTTCATCCAGATTGACCTTCTGACTCAGTTTCATCTGATTAAACCATGGGTGGGTAAATCTGGTTCCTGCGAGCTGGTATCCAGCAACTTTTTGATTAGTCCTTGATCCAAAACACCTGAATCGAATAGATGAATTACCTCCTTGCTATGTACTCAATTTCTTCTCATTCCCCTTAATCATTTAGTTACTTTTAAAATGTGTGTTGGACCAAGAAAACGTTGAAAAGTTACAGGATACTAGTCCTCAGGAACTGCAATTGCCCACCCTTGAATTAACCTGATGAACCTCCTAAGCATGATGGTGATATCATCTCATTTTATCATGGCAAAATACTGAACTTCAAGTTTCATCAGACCATAGCAAGTTTTCCAGCCCTGCTATTCGGTCTTGTATCTCTCACTCCTGAATGTGCGTTAACATGAAAGCACACAGGGTGCATCTTTTGCATGGTTTTCCTGTCATCGGTTGCTTGTTATTTTGCTTCTCTCTTCCAACACAGAAAATGCTAAATTAAACCCAACTTCACCATATCATCAAATAGGAGGAGCATCCATCCACTTGCAAGTTCCCCTTGTCTGTTCAACTAATCACAGTGGACCTTGGGTTTTACTGAGAATTTCACCAGGCTGCATATAATTTGATAAGCTGAACAACAGGGTTCGTATCCCTGGGTCGACCAGATCCGCTCTTAGTTCCTCCACCTGCTCCAGGGACTGCAGCTAGAGTATCGCCTCAAGTGCTACTTGCTTCTATCCATGGCCCAGTATCAGGAGCGACTGTCCCACAGCAAGGGGACAGATTTATATCCACTGAGGTTTTTACAATAAAAAAAAAAAAAAAAAGCAGAGTCTCTGCGGGGCTCAATCACCCTACATCACAACCATGTCCAATACCTAACTAGTTAACACAACGCAAAGTTCAGATTTTTCAGCTACAGTCAAGTTTATCTTTAAGTCTGAAACTCAACGCTACTTCAGACAGGATGGAAAGCTAAACGTCTTCAAACATGGAAAACAAGTCCAATGGATTGTTTTTTTAACCTTTTTTGGAGTTTCTCTTTGCTCTGCGGCAATCTGTGTTTGTCTTCCCTTTAATCAACCAATTTAATTTGCATCTTTTGAAAAGCGTCCTTCACATTGTCAACCATTAATTTGCTCTGTCACACATCTTTACATATTAACAACATGTCAATCCCATGCTATATTCACCACATTTGCATTTATTGCGAATGTACCTTTAGTCCAGACATATGGAGAAAGAAAAGCTTGTAGTTACATGCAGAACAAACTCTACTTTATAGAAATACCCAGCAACCCTATCAGTGTTGCCACTGGCCTTCTCATAGTCTTTTTTAGGAAATTTCAGCCTTAGTTTTTCATGAAATTCAGAGAAAAAAATATTTTTTCTAATGTCTTACGATCCGATATTTCTACAGTAAGTGGAGACGGCTTTCACTTCATCCCATGATTATTACCATAAATTTATTTTGTACCCTGCTTCCAACTAATAGCTTTGGCAAATGCAAAAATATACAACTGACCACGGCGACTGAAAAAAAAAAAAAAAGATCTACTACTGTAACTCACCTGTCCCTCCTGGTCAAAGCCCAGGATGTCATTACCCACGCTGCTGGTCCTGCCACTTTCCATTTCGTGCTTGTGTCTGAAGAGCTTCTGTCGGGCGAAGCCTCTGCCGTTGTCTAGCTCGCCATGGGTCAGCACACCAAGCAGGGTGCTCTTCCCAGCATCCACATTGCCGACAACTGCAACTCTGCAGACAAGAGGATTAGGAATTAGGATTTTTGCACTGAAAAATTTTGTCCCATAGTAAAGTATAAACTTCTTTATTTTTTGTTATCCTATACAAAAAGCTTCTTTTTATTTTTCATTTCAATTACACTGTAAGAAAAGGGTAATATGAATTAACACACATCTGTTTAAGCACAGAATCAAAGATTTAAATTGAACAAATTCTTGAATAATACACCCTGTATGTCAGGCACAGTGAAGAAAAAAGAAACATGGCGATCAAAATAAACAATGTCTACCAACAGGACGCCAGAAACATCAGGCCTTGTGCTTTATAAATTTAAACCATTAGTGTCACTACGTTGTTGTTTTTACGTAAATGAAGCTGCTGCTGAAATGCGTTTAACTTATAATGATATAAAAAGTAAAAAATGCATTTATCGTAGTACTCAATGTTCACATATGAGTAAATCTAAGTGAGAAGTAATCTAGTCTTTGTGTCCACTCGAGAAAGACTAGGAATGTGTGGGGGAAAAAAACGATTTAGGACCGCCCAATAGAATATTGATTGTTTACCTCCTAATATGAATTAAAAAAATTATGTCTTGCCTAAAACAATGGGGAGAAATAGGTGATACCAGGGAGACCTTTTGCTGTCACATAAACCAATCAGAGAAGCTGATCTGGGAGCTGGCAGGGAAAAAGAGACAATGCTGATGATACAGATCACTTTGATCACTCCTCTGAACAGTTTATTAATGCCTAAATTAACTTAAAATGTTGAAACCTGCCAGCAAAACATGTCCATTTTTATTATTCTGGTCCCTGCAGTTTGGATTACATACATGATTACGCCTTCCAGCCACAGCGAACAGTAGCGGAAACCGGGCCGGGCCAGAGGCTGCCGTTGACAGACCACTGCCGGTATGGGGGGGTCTGAGCGGCTCTGACAGCGAAATAATATTTGATTGCAGGATTGTAATCTTGAAGAACTGACAGATTTAGTTTTCAGGTGGACCTTCTCACTTAAAAACATGTCAAAACTACTTTGTACCCACTTATAACAGCAAATATAGCAAAGCCGCTCTCTGCCATTTAACGCAGGAGTAGTGAAACATCAGACACATCTGGACACACTTTACTTGACGCACTTCAGGAGCATCAAATATACTAGAGTGTACAAGCATCAAAAATGAAGCAGCAGAAGCTTTTTTGTTGCTTCCAGTGCTTGCGATCTGAACGTAGCATAAATGCTCATCAGTAGAATAGAAATCTAATTTGGGAATAACAGAAAATTTATATTTAGTCATTTTACCGGCAGCAGGAAAGAAACAGGTCTGGATCAACTTCATGACAGATGTTAACAGCTGCTGGATGCAGCATCTGTGGTGTTAAAGAAAAAAAAAAAACACAAATTTGAGGCGATATCTAAATAGAACCAAAAAAATTCTTGTATTTATGCCTTATGTTGACACTGTTCAAGGTAAAGTTGCTTAATTTAATCATATATTTCCATTTTCTGTTTTGTTTGTCTTGAATCATATTTTTGGTTATTATAAGAATTTGAATTGGACTATAGTTGGACAATGCATGTCCAGTGTATGTCCATGTTCAGTTTTTTTTTTTCTAATATATATTTTGGATGATATATATCGTGTATTGGTCAATATCTGAGATTTTCCAAAATATCGCATATCGTTTTTTTAAAGCACCCAAATCGATATGGCCTTTAAAATCCTATATCGGTTGGGCAATATTATAAATAGCTATAATCGGCTACTAGCCTTCTGGCCAGCTAGGAAGCATAATAATACCAAGTCTGAACAAGGCCATAAACATAAGTGATGGTTCATACTTCTGGTTTGTAGATGACTCCTTGTGTGTTTGTGATTACAAAGCAAAACACTCAAAAACAGACAAATGTGTTTTTTGAAAAAAAAAAAAATGTTAAGGGAAACTTTAAAGTGGCTTGGTTTAGTTTTGCATTCTTAGAAAAACAAAACCCCAAGAAATTGTACACCTTGATAGAAATAAGCGGCTCATTCCTGGTTGAAACCAGTCACCAACAGTAGTCATTCAACCTGCTTCATTCCTGACAATGTTGTCTGAGTTGTTTAAAATTGTGTTTTGAAGGTGAAATGACACCACCTGTGCCATCTATAATAAAGGTAAGAGGCTTGGTATTTCAATGAATGACTGTTGTTTCATGCACTTTCATGGACTACTCTTCCACAAAGCCAATAGATAAATATCAATGTACACTGTCTAATATAGGTTAGATGTTATTGGCTAATAAAAGACACATAAACATAGAAAGAACATCCATTCCACCACACTAACACACTGGGAAGAGACTATTAGCAATTGGGACTATTAAATAAACGCTTCTTGTTGGCAGCAGAGGATGGAATAGTGGTACACTACAGGAGAAGTTCTTAAATCTCATCTGAACAAATGTTACAATGCCTGGACAACTGCAAAACATCTGACAATCAGTGACTTATACCTGACTTCCAGGAAATCCTGCTCCCCCACATGTCGACGGATGAGGTAGTCCCGAATCTTGCCACCACTTTCTGTCCTTTCTCTCAGCAGGATTAAGTCAGCCTCAACCTGTTCACATAGCGACTGCACTGTGGCTACGGACGCGTCCATGTCCTTCTCATCCAGACCATAATCGCCTCCATCTACAGAGAAAGTGAAGGAACAGAACAATAGGGATGCTTAACTAAGACATTTTAGAAAAATAAATATATAATGACAGGAAAAACAAAAGTGGAATAGCACTCCTACAGTATTAGGGAGGGCTAAACTTAACTGAGCCCAAGAAGAATAACTTAGTTTGGACATTTCAAGTTCTAAATGACTGTGACCATAAGTAAACTAGAAAACAACTTCATTGCAATGTATTACCTTCAAATAGAATCAAACAAAACCAGGTTTATTGTATTTTTTAATAATCCCTACAAGCCAATACACAAACATAGAGTACTTTTGCATGACAGAAAGGTATAACATTTTAGCATTTTTGTAGCCACTACAGATCTGCGGGCTGTCCAGGTGTAAATGGGTGAAGCTGCATTACATTCAGAAATGAAGACATTTGCTCATTTCAGCTGCAAATCAAACCCGAAAATGAGGCATAGATATTGACATATGCTTTGCTGAACAAGTGGTAGTCCTTCTGCAAAGCACTGACAAATGACACCCTTTTTCATATGCACTACTGCCCCACCCCCTCCTCCAGAATGCCACACGGAGCAGACATGCTGCTGTAATAAGCAAAAAAAAAGGGTCTAGCTGCCAACAAAAGCCTTCATATATGTGTGTTAAAAAAATGAAAGCCAAAAACCAAACAAATGATAAGAATAAGCATGTAGGTGGCAGAGCTGACAAAAGTGATGACTTAACCACTTTGATGAGGTCTTTAATTTGTTTTAAGATATATAAAAAACTTTTATCTGTTGATTTATGATAATTATGACAATATATTCCAGATTTTATAGCTTGGATATTAGAATATATGGATATTAAAATCAGGTAATTTGACTCTCATCTTGAGAAGATATTTGAAAAATCTTGAGTTCCCCTTTTGTATTATATCCTCAATACTAAGGACTCCCAGTATTTTTGGTGCATAAATGATGTATTCAACAGCATGAAATAGATGGAGAGACATATGCTCCAGTCTATGAATGGAGGTAATCATGTACTTATTAATGTTGGGTTGTTACAAGTATATATATCATTCAAATAAAGTCTTATGACACTTAAGAGAATCTGTCACCATTAGGGAAATACGAAAATTATGTTTACATTTTATCATATCTTTTGAAAACCGTGACCTATGTGGGACCTAACTACAGTGGGATCCGTTTTTTAGTGGTCACGGATATAGTAATCAACCGCTTATAGTGTTCAAAAGGCTTGGGACAGAATCATTTCAATACAAATGCTGTTTAAATAATTTCTTTATAGTCATTAAGAAATCTGGTTATAGTGTTCATTCTTTGGCCATTTTATGAATGTAAACATGTGCAAAAATAATTAATAAGTGGATTGTAAGTGATGAGAGCACTCCAGTGCCATCGCAGAGGTACAAGAGTGCTTTGGTGCAGGTAACAGTGTAGGAATGCAGTTTGCATTTTAAAGACTGGTCTCCTGCATGTTGGTTTCAAAAACTTTGACCTTTTACATCGTTTTGAAAAAGAACTGAACTCTGTGTTGGACAACACTGTGATCCAGGGAATCATGGATAAATATGTGAAGAGATTTCTTGATGCAACGCAGCAGATCCACAAAAATGTAATTAAAGTTGCATGGTACATACTGTAATAAATTCAGTAAATGCGGAAGCTATCCGTTTCATTTCATTTTTCTCATTGAAAAACCATACAGATGGCATTTAGAGGATATTCTGCATAAAAAAATAAGTGAAATAACGGTAAATTCGGATATAGTAATCGACCACTTATAGTGTTCAAATTGGCTTTGGACCAAAGGGATCAATATAAACGGATTCCACTGTATTTGCTGTTCTAAAGCTTAAACACAGACTAACTTTAAATGAATCCATATTACCTGAGCCCAACCCAACAACATAGATGGTCTCTCCACAGCCCTCCTCTATCCGCTCTCTTAGTTGTCGAAGTAATGAATCATATTGTTCTCCTGTTGGGCTCACAAGAACCAGCTGAAAATGAGAGGCAGACAAGAAACAACAACAACAACAAAACAATGCAGCGTCTTGTTAACAAATCACGTAAAACGCTTAAATTAAGTTAAACAAGTAATCGCTTCAAATTCTGTCCCTTTAAATATTAAGATATAATGGTTCTACATAACGTACAGACCATGTGAGTTACATATAAAGTTATATATGTCGGGGGAGGAGTTAAGTTATGCACATGGAACTCAAGTTACATTTTCGTAACATCGATCCAGGGATTGGCATTACTGATATCCAATTTATTTTTACAGGGGGGAAAAAACACTTTTACTCGGCAGAATATATATTTCTTTTTAATATGCACTTTATTACTGATCCTACCTTGTTGCTTAAATCGAGAGAATCCACAGAAACCCCATTTTCACCCTCGCAGTCCTCAAAGCCTTCTTCACCTGGTGGATCATCAGAACATCCTCGGTCCGGTGCGAACATGCAAGCTGGTACTACCGACTCTGGTGGTGTTGAGCCTGGACAAGTCGCAGGCTCCGTCGCTGCCATGTCTAGAGACAAACAGCGATAAAAATATAAAAATAAATAAACTTAAAACTGTTCCTCAGCTATAAACAACGGGGTATGACTAGAAAAAATACTAGCAAAATATATAAACTGAAAAGTTCGTCTGACTATCAACTAGCCTTGGCTAACACTCCCCAAACACCAAACTTGGAAGTAAAACAACATTTAAAACTTAAGAGACGCGACATATCGTCCACATATAAATGACTTTTAAATTTTGTTTTCGAGTAAAGAAAGACAAACTCTGTTAAATGTTGTAATTAGTTAAAAGCATACCAGTAAATAAAAGCTAATAGAACAGCTAACTTCGTTGTTTATTCTATTTGGCTTCGGTTTCTGGGCTTACAAAGTTTGTCCCGCCCATAAGGAAAATGAAGGCAAGGATTGGCTCCATCTTAACACGTCATAAAACAGAAAGCTCGTGTTGCATTTATGAAAATTGGACATAACGCATTCACCTGTTTATTTTCAAAAAGTAACACCAATTGAACCTAAATGCTATTTATATTCTTGCTTGAGAATGTTACATAGGCCATTTGGATATTAAGGCTAAAAAGAAATACAGAGAAGCTTTGTCTTTTGTCGTTTTGGTCTGAAAATAAATAAAGAAATGCAACATTTTTTTTTTTTAACTTTGGCTGAAAAATTTCTCAGGTCAAGCGAATTTCCTCTAAGTTTATCATATCAAAGAATTTCACTTAAATTTACAAATGAATAGGAAAATTCTCAAGAATATTATTTCGTTCTTTGAGCATTAAACTTCCAATACTGGGACTTGAAAACAAATAAACGAATGTAACTGAGTGCAGCACGACTTTAAAACCACGCCCACTCAAATAGACTTCCCCTGAGAGCAGCACAATTATATGTTATTGTATCTCAATTCCATGACACGTACACAACATTTGGGGTGCCATATCGAGAATTCAAATGCGTACATAAATAAAATAAAAACTAAGATTTGAATTTACAGCACTATCAATAAATCATCTTTTTACAGTATTCATTGGAGCACACTCTCCTTTTAGGGACTTCAAATGCTGCCGCCTCTCATTTACGGGTATTAAAGTTGTTCTAACTACAATCAGAGGTTTCAAGTTTTGAGAAAAGCTTGTGCTGAGATCTGGATCAGGTGGGATAAAAAATTGTGATAAACCAGAATAGCACTGATGTCACACAAAAAAAGAGGAAAACAACAGGGTTATTACATTGAAAATTAAGGTTGCTGAATACATGAAATCCATGAAAAGCTGGTTTTAAGCTGGTTTTAAGTTCAGAAATCTTGATTCTAATGTCAAAAGAATGACTTCTGGCATCCCTGGAAAAAAATACAGATGTAAATGTTTATGCTCTTTGGAATTAAAAACTCATAGTCATAAATGTACCTACTCTACCTGCCTACTTTTATTACCCCACTTCCTCCCCCTAGCCTCAGCAGGCTTATATAAAGTCAGCATTAGAAACTTTGTCACTCAAGGGAAGCCTATTGATGACAGCCAAGATGGTAAGTAGTGCAAAAAGTTAAGTTGAGCTTAACTGCTTAACTTTAAACATATATCTGGGTTAGACTTTAGTATTTAAACATCCTTAATTCGTTAAGTATTTAAGGCTTAATTCAGATCTATTTAGTAATGTGTGTTGAAGTTGAAAGATTTTGTCCACTGATCGAAAAAAACAAAGCATCAATTAGTGTATTTGGTTTTGATTCAGTGTTTGTGCATTATTGTTTTAGCAAATGTTTAGCAAATGAGTGTTTAAAATCTGTGCGATTCTTGTGCAAAGCCTTTTTCAGACACTTCCTTTTACGTTCACAAAAACTTACAGGACACCTGTCTCAAAAGTTGTTGAGACAAAAGAAAGAAATTACTCATTAAGAATATTTTGTATTGGTGTTTTTTTTCTCCGCTATTTAAGTTATAAACATTTAGAAAAGGTGCTTTTTACATCACAAACGTATACAATAACCTGTTTTGGCTGGGTTAATATTTAACAATATTGGTATAGCCAGCTGCATTGACCATGCCCTTGATAAAACACAATGGACCAACACCAGCAGCTGACATGGCACCCCAGACCATCACTGACTGAGTGTACATGACACTGGACTTCTGGCATTTTTTCCTTCTCCCCAGTCTTCCTCCAGACTCTGGCACCTTGATTTCCAAATTACATGCAAAGCTGAGCAACAGTCCAGTGCTGCTTCTCTGTAGCCCAGGTCAGGCGCCTCTGGTGCTGTTTCTGGTTCAAAAGTGGTTTTACCTGGGGAATGCGGCACCTGTAGCCCATTTGCTGCACACACCTGTGGACGGTGGCTCTGGATGTTTTTACCCCAGACTCAGTCCACTGCCTCCGCAGGTCCCCCAAGGTCTGGAATCGGCCCTTCTCCACAATCTTCCTCAGGGTCCGGTCACCTCTTCTCGTTGTGCAACAGCCTATTGGTTCAGAAATATCTTTCTGTGTCATACCCTCTTCCTTCAGGGTGTCAATGATGGCCTTCTGAACAGCAGTCAGGTTGGCAGTCTTACCCATGATTGGGGTTTTGAGTGATGAACTAGTCTCAGAGTTTTAAAGGCCTCAGGAATCTTTTGCAGGATTTTAAGAGTTAATTTGTTGATTCACATGATTAGGTGTATAGCTCATTTAGAGACCTTTTTCATGATATGCTAATTTTGTGAGATAGGTATCTTGGGTTTTTATGAGCTGTATGCCAAAATCATCCGTATTAAGACAATAAAATAGCTGAAATATTTCAGTTAGTATGGAATGAATCTAAACTATATGAATGTTTAAGTTTTATCATTACATTATGGAAAATAATGAACTTTATCACAATATGCTAATATTTTCAGAATTTTAACATTCGTTGATCATCAACTGCTGAGATAAGAACAGAGCTTCACATCCCTTTTATCAGGGTTTGTTTATAGTCATTGCTAAGAAAAAGACTATTGATACATTAGTGACATAAAATTACTTATCAGCCTAAATTAGATTTTTGTGAAGAAGAAAAAGCATTCGCCAAAAGTGTTCTACTTTTTAATGATAAACCATTTTCATCTGTAGTAAGTATAAATTCGGTGTTTGCCCAAATAAACTAAATACATTATCAATTGCATTCATTTCTCACCCCTTTTTTCACAGATATTCGAAGGCATTACATTCAAGATGGGGCAGGAGTTAGAGATCCGAGTCAGGCCTCATGATGACTGTAATAGGTATGCACGTACTTCTGCATAGGTTCAATAAATCTTTATCTGCTTGGATATGTAGATTTAAGCTCAATTTTCCTCATGAGGAATCCGCACAATATAATACAAGTTTATGGCAATGTGTTTCTTTCCCTTTCTTTGGCCTTACCTGTTTCTGTTTCTGCCATAGATTTATGATCGACATCGGTCATGATCCTGAGAACCTCGCAATGCACTTCAACCCTCGCTTCAACACGAACATTATCGTCTGCAATTCCTTGTCTGGAGGGCACTGGGGTGAAGAGCATCATGAAGGGTTTTTCCCATTTGTGCGTGGGGAGGAAGGCAAGGTATGTTTGTGGAATCATTTTTTTTTTTTAAATCAACAAATACATAGATAAAAATAACAGAAAATCTCTCAGAAATTTGTGAAATTAGACTTAAGCAGACATTATCTTGTACAGAAACATATTAAAAGAGCCCATTGTAGAAGATATGAAATATCAAGCTGTCAAAAGAATGACAGCTTTTCTTTCTGTAAAGTCTGGAAAATATTCCATAATTTAAATATATTATCAAGTGAGATTATCAAGATAAGTGCCGAAAAATAACATAAGACATTAGTGCAGCCAGGTCATTTTCTATATATTTTATTTAATTATAACGATAGGAAAATATAGATTATTCATTGTTTTTTTTTTTATAAAATAACAAATACTCTGAACTGATTCCTCCTTAGCTGCAATATGAAACAAAGTTTTTTTTCTTTTTAAATAGAACAGAAACTTAATTTAATATTCTGCTGTAAAACACACATTTTAACAGTGCTAATTTGTGGTTCCCATTTTCTTCTTATTTAAACAATTTTTTTCTCTCTTTTTTTAAACGATCTACAGTTGTACATCAACTTTAACAGTAAGCAGTTTTACATCAAACTTCCAGATGGTACCATGATGAACTTCCCCAACCGCCTGGGAGATGTGAAGTACCAGTTCATTAAAGTCCACGGCGGAGCAGAGATTGTAGGATTTAAGCTCGAGTAATGGATAAACTCCTCAGATTATATTCTGATCTGACACCTTTCACATTATTTGCTTGCTGCAGAAATAGTCTGTTTTAGAGTGCTATCCCAGCGCTGATTGCTTGTCTTCTGTAATGCTGAGGTAACTTGGGTACCAGCTGTAATGAGAGAAGAAGGCCTTAAGATGGAGCCAAAGCATATCTTATTTACCTGCTATTGCTAGCTGAATGTCTTCAATAAAAGCTTTAAAAAAAACTCTCTTTATAAGTGAGTAATAATATCATTAAACTCATAATAAAAAAAGATTCCATGTTATTTGTTCTTAATTGTGCACATAATCATTACATATATTCATAATGTGAATAGAGAGAAATGTCCTGCCTATCATAAAAGAAATGGGTGAAAACTGCTCATTTTTTATTCCAGAGAAGTAATGTCTTCTATTAAATCGCTGGTGCTACTAACAAAAAGACTGTATTATAAGGAAAACATAGTAAGGAAGCTATAAAAAAAAAACTTTGAAAAAGCTTCCATTTTATTTTGAGCATCCAGCATCATTAAAAAACATTAACATTAGAAAAACAGAGACAAAGTAGGGTAAATAACAGCAAAGTGGAAAAAGGGACTGAATTTAGCATAATAGATTAATCCTCTGTGAGAAACAATTTACAGCGGGGCTCAAAAGAATCCTGTAGAGAGGCAGAGGAATGTAACACCATTTAAACACATTCCCTGGTAGGGGAGATATCTTTATTTACAAGTTAAAAACTATGCTAACTAAAACTATATTAAAACAAAAAACTATATTAACACAGATTTAACCAAATGAGAGATGCAGATTTTAAATATCTGGCAAACTCATGATTCTATCAAAAATGTGAATAAATCCAACTTCCAAATGACAAACAAATCAAATTTTAGTATTTGTTTGTCATTTTCTTCAGAACAAATCACAGTCTCACATTAGTCTATGACATATCAATGTGAAACTCATACTTTAACTGCATTTAATAATGGATATAGGTAAATAAATATTTACAATCTAATTTAATTGTAAAACTGTACTTTAATATCATACGTAGGTTGAGGGGAAGTATTTCCAACTGAGGTATTAGATGAATATGTCTTAAGTCTACAAGTTCAAAATTAAAGTAAAATATTTAAGATCTCAAGTAGTATCTATGAAAAACAAGTGCATTTGCAGAATAAACAACATAAAAACAACTAAGATATTTTTATTAAAACGTTGCTTACGAAAAATTGTAAGGTTTGACTGTTAAGAAAAATAATTAAAAAGTTAGCATGTACCCTTTTGAACAGAGCTACCTTATAGGCAGTGGTGTCAAAAGTACACAGATTAGTTACTTAAGTAGAAGTATAAATGCTGCAGTTTAAAAACACTCTGGTAAAAGTTGAAGTATCAACTTGACGTCTTTACTCAAGTAAAAGTTAAAATTATGTGCTCCAAAAACTACTTAAAGTATAAAAGTATAAAGTAACCTTTAAAATAAAAACAGCCAGATGCCACTACATGAATTAAAAGCTCAATTTTTTGGACAATTTAACAAAAATTCTTTGAGATAGGGCCAAGGATGAGGGAGGTCTTGTTGGTCTCCGTCTCCATCTCCCGATACGCTCTCGCCTGTGTCCGACCTTTCAGACATTTCAACATCTTTTTCTGAATCCGACATTGTAGCATAGCATAGGCAATTCACCTTTGCAGTTTGAAGAACACCTGCTTGCTTCTGATGATTTCCTTTAGCTAACCAATGAGTGTGTGCGTTATATGACTCATCCAATTACACTAGTTTTCACTAGATGTGGATGGCGCCAACGATCTGCATTGGATGGCGCACATGATGTGAAATAAATATTTATAAACATTAAACCAGGGGTAACCAATTAAAAATCAGTGAGTCCGAATAAAGAAAATCATCAGCCAGTGAAGGTCTGGAGACATTTTGTAATGATCTGTTACTTTAAACAGAATTTAACACTGAAATAAAATTAGGTATTTATGCATTCATGTTATACATTGAATTTTGAAAAAAATAAATAAATAGAAATTGACAAAAATTGCATCCCATGCTATCTCAGAGGAGCCAACACTTGTATGATTGTATTCCTGCTTTGCAGTTTCAAAACTCACGTTGGCTATCAGTGTTTATTGTTGTGTGTGAATAACAAGAGACTAGAACAAATAAATCAGCCGTACCTCGGACAAAATCTTTGGATTTAATGTTGTTCTTAACACCCGTATGCATATCTTGGTAGGCATGCACTGTTCGGCATAACACCGGACCGCAGTCCTCTAATCCCTGATCTCTGCATTAAACCGAAGGCAAGAGTAACGAGTAACGTTTGTTTTAAAAATTTAAGGAATAGAAAGTACAGATACTTGTGTTAAAATAGGAAAAATAAGTAATGTAGTAAAGTATAGTAGATCCCTAAAAAGTGTACTTAAGTACAGTAACGAAGTATTTGTACTTCACTACTTGACACCTCTGCTTATAAGCCTTCTCCATTTGGGCGACAGATTGATGGCTTTTCTGTACCATTTCCATTATCTTTCTTTCATTCAGGAATGCCTCGTTATTCTTAGACATCTTTGATTCTTTACATGATCAGATTTTGGTTAATGTGTCTACAAGGTTTCAATTGTATTTTTGATTTTACTATAACTGAAATGTCTTCTCTCAGGCTTATAATTTTAAAATGTAACCTGACTGTACAGCGATCTATTAAAGTTCTTGAAGAGGTGTTGTTACAGCTGTTCCAGGATCAGCCTTGGTTGATCCCCCCGACTAACCTTTTTGAGCTAAATAATCTTTATAATTTTGAGTCAGAAGAGTGTAAAGGAATGGATTAATACAGCTGTTTCCATACGTGAGACATTTGAGAAAGAAATTGACATAATTATAAGCAGCTGCAGACAAAGCTTTGAGGGAATCTAGGGAGAAAAGTTTAGTGAGCTGCCATCCCCAAAAAGGTAAAAAACAGGCCCAATATACTACTACAATGCTTAATATTGTTGACAACACTTTTTGTTTGAGTCCTTTCCTCCTGGTTGAGAGGCTACTGCCCCCCAAACTAGCCTGCTAGTCCAGCATACAATCCAACAATTATCAATCTAGGGACTAAAACACTTGTGAAAAACAGTACTGTGAGATAGGCCTTAAAGGTACACTATGCAACCGGTGTTGATTTTCCAGCGAGGCTCCCCCCAGAGGGCGAAAGTAAAAGTGCACTGTCGTAAATATGCACAGCTGTTCTCCTGGTTTCTCCGTCAAGCCAGGCGCGGTTGTTTTGAGCTTAGCAG